TGAAAAGAGTGAAAATCTCAGAGTCAAAGAGTGAAATCACAAATGAAAAAGAACGATTGCAGAACGTCAATTCATTTCAATTCAATGCAAACAGTCCAGTCAAATGCAAAGTCCACATCAAATGTTTAGTTCGAATCGTTGCCTTTCCAAATGTCAATGGTTGTCACAGAGACGAATAAGTATTGTGAATTGCCCTTTTGAGCGAATGCTCCAATGATTGCCACTTGCATTTGACCCTGCAGAGTTTCTCTGTGGCGTGTCTCGACACCTCGTTTCGTCAGACGGTAAGGTGAATACCACCACCGCAATGTACAGTAAAGTCTCATCGACAAGCTCAAGTCGCGCGCGCAAGATAATTGTATAGAGACAGGTGCTTGACAGTCAAGAGGACAGCAACACAAAACGACAGACAAACAAACAAACAAAAGAAAATCACAAACTAACAACAAAAGAAAGCAAGGGTCAAGCACAAAATGAAACAAACAACCACACAAGCAAACAAACAAACAAAGAAACCAGAAGGAAAGCAGGGTCAAGCACGCTAGAGCTGGCTCGACGATGGCATTGTATTCGAAACAATCAGTCTTGGTTTTTGATCTTCTTGTGGATTGTTTATTGTGTAAAAATCTTTGCGGTTCTCAAATGGCAAAGAAGGCGGTACCCTCGGCTGCTCCTGCTCCCACTCCTACTCCCATGCGCACTACAAGAGCCACCAAGCCAAAGACTGGTGGCAGCCTCGGTAGCACCGACGCAGCGGAGGACGATCGTGTGGTCGCGGAAATGGAGGTCGATCCACCCAAACCGAAGCGAGCTGCTGCCCGTGCTGCTGCCACTGCTGCTGTTGCAAGTGCTGCTACTGCTGCCAGTGCTACTACTATTGCTGCTCCGCGAGGCAGGACCAGCAAGGCAGCCGCACCTGTCCCTGCCACTTCAATCTCAGCGCCGCTCAGCAAGGTGCTGCTCCTGCCCAAGAGTTGTGAGGCGTAATGCCAGTCCACTAACTCGTCGCTGACATCTTGTTTGCTTCGTTTGTGATTCCTACTGTTTGATTTTTCACATAACGCCAGACCGCTCAGAAGAAGGCCACTGCACCAACCAACCAAGGATCTCAGACTGTGAGCTACCATCTTCGTGCTCGCAAACCCATTCAGGTTGCAGTTGCGCGTACTAGCAAGACGAGTTCAACTTCCAGTAGTGGCGCTCTCACGACCATCCGCAGCAAGCGTCGGGCTGCTGAAATGGCCGGGGAGAACACCTCAACATCCAAGAAGAACAAGAAGAAGGCTCGTCAAACGGATGCTGACGATGCTGACGACGGCGATTACGAGGACTGCGACGACGACACTGCTGGCGACGGCGACGACAACCAGGACAGCAAGAAGCTCAGCAGGGAGGAAGCGATCGGTGAAGCACTCCTGCAAAACACCACACTGACTACGCTCGAGTATGTACTTGTCGGCTTCTGCTAACTCCATGTTTGTTTGATGCCTTGACTCACCGTATGGTATCAGCTTGGGCGACTGTGTGATTGACTTCAAGAATGCTAGAATGCAGCCGATTGCGGCAGCGTTAGTGCAGAACAAAACGCTGACGACACTCCGGTATGCAACGCCAGATCCATTTGCCGATGCCATGGTAATGACAGCTGTACAAAGCTCACTCGCTCACTACTTTGCTTCATGATAACAGGACTCGAAACTACACTGACGCAGTGATTGCCGATGCACTGACGCAAAACACCACACTGACTGAACTCTCGTACGTTGTTTTGGCACCATTTGCCCGTGTTGCTTTGTGCGAGGTAATTGGCTCACCGTGTGACGACAGGGCTTACCTCGATGCCAATGGAGCGCGAGCGATGGCAAAGGCACTGACGCAGAACGCCACGTTGACCACGCTCTAGTACGCACCGCTTTCGCATTTTGATTGCATTCTAGTTTGTCATTGCAAATGCTCCGGTTTGTTTCGATGGCGTCGCTCATTGTGTGGTAACAGTGTGGACTCGGGTGAATTCGGCTCGGCAGAAGCACACGCGATTGCCGCCACACTAAAGCAAAACTCGACACTGACCACCCTAGAGTATGCTTCTTTCCTCTCATGCTGACCACTACCGCGTCTGATTGCGAACATTAATATAACCATATTTGTATGTCGGGGCCAGGGCGTTTGGTCCTCAGATTGGAGACTTTGGAGCTCAAGCGATTGGAGAAGCGCTGAAATCAAACACCACTTTGACTGCACTCCGGTAAGGATTCCACCACTCTCTTCCTCGTCTGCTAGTTGACTTTGCGCTCAGAAGTTAATTGATTTATATATTGAATTATTGATTCTCATTGCATGGTCACCAGCTTGCTCGGCAACGCCATTGGCAGCGCTGGAGCGCAAGCGATTGGAGAGGCACTCAAGAGCAACTCCACATTGACTACGCTTGTGTCAGTGTCACTCTCATGCTGAATCATTGCTTGAGGTCATGCGAGAAGCGCAGTGATGTGTGTTGCTCACTTCATTGTAATAGTTTGGATAAAAACAAGATTGGCGAAGCTGGCGGACTTGCGATCGCTGATGCTCTGGTGTGCAACAAGACGTTGACTACGCTTTCGTACGTTCTGCCGGATTGATGTTGTGACTCTTGGTTCCACTGCTGCGTTGTTATGCCATCGCTGACATCAATTGCCACAGGCTGTATTGGTGTTCGATTGGAGATGCTGGAGTTGAAGCGATTGTTCACGCGCTCGAGCAGAACACGACGTTGACCTCCCTCAAGTATGATCCTCCCTTCTCATTTTGACTGAATCCATGTTTTTGTAACTGCAAGCGATGGATCATTTGCCCTGTCGCTCACTGCAATGCTCGCAGTTTGAACCACAATATCACTCTCGGTTGTGGCACGCAGGCGGCGATACCACGGATGCTTCAAGTGAACACGACGCTGACTGAACTTGAGTACGTGACAGCTCCTACCTTTATCCCCCTACCCCAAACAAAAAGCAGAAAGATGAAGAGAACGAAAATCGAGGCAATCACGGCTGCCTAATACCGCATGCTCACACGTTGATTATAGTCTGGGCGACAATAGATTGAACAGCGTTGGATTCCAAGCAATTGCAGAAGCGCTCGCGCGAAACACTTCTCTCACGACACTCTCGTACGAGCTCCTCGCTTTGTGTTGATGAATGCCGTGCTTTGTTGTGGTATTCGATGGTATGGCTCATCGCTTGGGAGTAGACTTATGGGAAACGCAATGGAAGTAGCCGGAGCGCAGGCGATTGCTACAACACTCAAGAGCAACACCACACTGACCACACTCGAGTATGTTTGCAATCTGTCATGCCGGTTCGACGCTATCACTCTTGTTTATCGGGGTGCTTTGGAATTCTCACAATCGGATACAGTCTGGATCACAGTCGATTTGGTGATGCCGGTGCGCAAGCCATTGCAGATGCTCTTCGGCGGAACAAGACGCTTACCACTCTGCAGTATGTTTTCAGCCGCATTGGCCCGTTTCTCGTCTGCAAAGGCCAAAGATTAACCTTGCTTGTATTGCTTGTCACGTGTCAAGTCTCAAGCACTGCAGTATTGGCACCGCTGGACTCCAAGAGATCGGTGGAGCACTCGCGCAGAACAACACGTTGACCACGCTCAAGTATGTTTGGGAACGATGTTGTAGAGAGCGAGGCTTTATTTTGGTGATACATTTTCTTACCACTTGAAAACGCAGTCTTTCAATGAATCCGATTGACGATGCTGGTGCCAACAGCATTGCCGAAATGCTGAAGTCGAACACAAGTTTGACCACTCTCGAGTACGTTCTATGCTCCTGTTGTTGTGGAACTGGTTGTTGCTGCATTTACTCACGATCAGCCAACAGTCTGAGTTGCAGTGAGCTTTGTTTTAAAGTGCACGAGATTGCCGAAGCACTCAAGCAGAACACGACGCTGACGACACTCGAGTAAGGCTTTCTACCAACTTTTTGTCACTCCCAAACACTCGTTTATTGTTCTATTACTTACGGCTTTGCGCATTCAGTGTATCTCGCAATGTTATTGGCGCTGTTGGAGCGCAGATCATTTCCGAGGCTCTGAAGCAGAACAAGACTCTGACCACGCTCCGGTACGTGCCTTGCTCGTTGCTCAATGTCACACCTGTAGGCGGACGTCCTACTTGGTGGTATTCTTACATAACACGTGGTTGCAGTTTGAATGAAAATCACATTGGCACTGCTGGTGTGAAACCTATTGCCGAGGCGCTCAAAGTGAACACTGCGCTGACCACGCTCGAGTATGTTCAACCATACGTGGTGATTGGTGTCATGCCTCACTGTAATCACTTTGCTTGTTATGTGGGAGCAGGTTGGATGGCAATTCCATTGGCGATGCTGAGACGCAGGCAATTGCACCCGCACTTGTTCAGAACACGACTCTAACCTCGCTCAAGTATGTAACAAGTCGCATGCCGAACAGCCTCGATGCTTGATTCACTGAAACTGACACTATTTCTGGGATTAGACTAGGGAACGACGTGCTTGGCAAAGCTGGAGCTCACGCGATTGCCACTGTGCTGAAGCAAAACGCCACACTCACCACCCTCGAGTACGGTCACCTTTCATTGTGTGTCGTTTGATGCTCCGAAAGTGATACCAAAGTGCTAATTGATGATTCATTGTTCGTTTGTTTGTTTGGTTGTTCGTGTTCTTCATCGTGATGACATCAGGCTGTCGGCTAGCTTTATTACCTGTGCAGTGCAAACAATCGCAGCCGCACTCAAACACAACACTACGCTGACCACGTTCAAGTAGGTTATACTCCCTCGTGCCGGTCAAAGTCTCACTTGTGCGCATAAAATGATTCTTTCTGCTGCGATTTCTCACGGCGTGATTCCAGATTGCGAGATTTGAACGACTACGACCCTGAATTCGAGCGTGAAATGTCAGAACCATTGACCACAGAGCGGTATGTTGTCCTGCAGTTGACATTCACTCTGAAGTGGCCAGAGGTGGTCGCTCACGCAACTTGTCACCGTGTGGTCACAGTCTGCTGCCGCAGGTGCGTAATCCGCATGATTTTGGACTCGAAAAAGCCCTGTCGCGGGTTTCCAGGCTTTTGTATGTTCCTTCTCCCTTCTCCTGTCGTTCCCCTTCTATGACGTCGACGCATGTGATGCTTCTTTCGATGGATATAAGTCACTCAGTTTATGCGGACAGCTTGCGTGAGAACATTGTTGACTCTGCTGGAGTGCAAGTGATTCAAGAGGTTCTGAGTTTGACCAAACCAAGCAAGCTTGAGTAAGTTCTCGTGTTCGGTTGGTGTTGTGACTTTCATTGCAACTCACATTGATTGTTGTTCACGACACTGTTTAGGATTCGATTTGGCCTTGACGACTTTGGAGCGCAAGTCATTGCAACATCGCTCAAGCAGAACTCTTGGATGACCGAGCTCGAGTATGTTTGCTTCTCTCGCTGATTTGCTTCGTTCGGGGGAGAGGCGGTGGACACGTTGATGCAAGTACTCACCGCGTGACAACAAACAGTCTGAATTCCAATAAGATTGGCCCGATTGGAGCCCAAGCGATTGCAGAGGCGCTGATGCAGAACACCAAGCTCACTATACTCAAGTATGTTGTCTTTCCATCGCGCTGGCTTGCTGATTGTTGTCGTTCTTGGCGTTGTCAACTAATCGCTGCTTGATCATGTCGGGGGTTTGTTCAATCACGACACGATTCTAGTCTGAGTTCCACTCAGCTCGGAGATGCAGGAGCGGAAGCGATTTCCAAGGCACTCAGGGTAAACACGACACTGACCACGCTAAAGTACGAAATGGCTATTTCTGCCCTTGCTTATTGCGCCCTTTTGCTGCTGCACTACGTTGATGATACTGACGCTTTGAGCAGCCTGCGCGAGTGTTGGATTGGCAGTACAGGAGCAATGGCGCTGGCGGAGGAATTGAAGCAAAACGTGGGATTGACTTCGTTCGAGTACGTTTCCTTTCCTTGCTACCTTGCATGCTGAGCATGTCGCTTGATGAGCAACGATACTTACACTTACCTTTTGAGAGCAGCCTGTCCCGCAATTCTATTCGCGATAGTGGTGCAAATGCGATGGCGGCAGTGATCTCGCAGAACACAACACTGACAACCCTCGAGTATGTTCCTCTCGCTTTTCTGCTGCTTCGTGTCGCACTGGTCATTAAACAAGCTGCATGTTACTCACTGCATTGTACACAGTCTTGGAATGAATCACATTGGCGATGCTGGCGCCGAAAGGTTGGCAGAAGCGCTCTTGCGAAACACCACGCTTAAAGTACTCGAGTACGTGACCATTATTTTGCAGATTGAGATCAACGATGAATGTGTGTACGTGCTGCTCTGCAGTGCTTTTGCTCACTCCTATGCAAACAGTTTGTGGTATAACGAAATCGGGGAAGCTGGAGAGCTTGCGTTGGACAACGCACTCGACCAGAATTCTGCACTTGACTGGCTCAAGTATGGTCCCTTTCGCTGATGCTGATTCTGTCGTGTTTGTGTGTGGTACTTACTGTTTGACGGTATGGCTTTCTCACTTCAAACAGCTTGAACGAGAATCAACCGCCGAATTAACCAAAGAACGCTCGCTTCCCTCTCTCTGGTGGTGTGATGCTGTGTTTTCTTCTGATGATGACTTTGCTCACTTCGAGGGAGCAGATTGTGTTTGAGTTCGGGTAGTTTGGTAGACGTAGTTTGGTAGTTTGTTTTGTTTGTTTTGTTGTTGTTTTTTTTTTAACACTTGCTTTAATGTGCTTTTGAGTGTTAACCTTTCCATCATGAAACCGTGCATGCTTGAATGAAGGTGCTGTGATCAACCTGTGGATTACTCCGAAGCGTGGACCAAAGCCGGAAGCTCAATCAACTCACACACAACTGAACAATGCTCGAGTTGAACACAATGGAAATATTCCAATTCAATTCAATGCAAATGCTCTGCCTGCCTGTCCAGAGATGTCGATCGTATCAAAGCCAGACTATTGGAAACATGTTCGAGCTTTACTTGTGTAGCGCAATCCAAAATACCACGACCTCACTCTTCAAATCTCAGAAACATCTCAAAATGGCGAGCAAGCGCAAGATTGTCGAGTCCGACGCGTCCGAGTTTGACGCGTTCGCAGACACCCACGACGACATGCAAGCGTTCGCAGCTGCTGCTCAGATGGCCGAAGCACAGATGACTGGGACTCGGGCTGGGACTCGAGCTGGGGCTGGGGCTGGGGCTGGGACTGGCTCTGGTCATCACTCGTCGTCGTCGTCGTCGTCGTTGTCGTCGTCCGTCGCGGGATCGACGTCCACGGCGTCGTCAGCAACACCGTGGGTGCTCAGCCAAGAGCTCCTCGTCGCTGCGCCGGGTGGCCATCCGATGATCCTCGGCGGTGGCGACGCTCCAGGTCGGTTGCACGCTCCTGGCTCGTTACTCGAGGCACACTTTGGCCACCTGCGCACCGCAGCCACCGAACCCGCTGGATCTGGATCCGGAGTGGGCCGTCCAGGCAGCTCGAGTAGTAGCAATGCTGGCGTTGGCGTTGGCGCATCATCAGCTCAAGTGTCAGTTTGTCGCGCCGACATGTGCAGTGGATTTGGCATGTCCAATCTCACCCTGGTATACAATCTGACCATGCTGTAGGAAACGAGCATCAAGTACGCCAACGCTAACGCGAGGTGGAGGCGCCACTTGTCTCCAAGTGAACAAGCGACAGGAACACAATCCGATGCTCAAATGCATCAGCGGCACTGTGCCGTATGAGATTGTCGAAATGGTCCCAGACTTTGTCATGGGTCGGTCTGTGTGCGCCTTGTACTTGAGGTACGGTAGGCTCAAGGAGCAGGCCAGTTTGATTTGCTTGAGTGCCTGTTCCAAAAAGACTCATTCTGCTCGGGGGGGTCTTGCAGTCTAAGATATCACTTGCTCCACCCAGAGTATCTGTGGCAGCGAATGCGAGAGCTGCGCAACATGTACGAGCTTCGAATATTGCTGATCTTGGTCGATATTGTAAGGTTTCGGGATTGGCCGTGATGGTTTTTGGGTTTGTCGTGGATTTTCGTTTGCGCTCAATGCGCTCAAGCTGTTATATTGTTGAACGTTGGCAGAAAGATACACAACGTGTTTTACGTGAGTTGACGACTGTCACGGTGCGATTCAAATTTACAGTCGTTCTCGCTTGGAGGTACAGTATCCGTTTTTGCAACCTGGTTGTGTTGTTTTCCCTCCTCGACCTCCCCGCCTCCTTTCCCTGTCCACTCATAACCTGAACCAGTGAGGATGAAGCGGCGCGCTATTTAGAAACGTACAAAATGTACGAGTCCAAGCCCGCGGACGCGCTCAAGGAACGCATCGATACCGATTTTCTCTCTCGAGTCACGGATATTCTAACCTCCATCAAATCCGTCAACAAGACGGATGTCATTACGCTTTTATCGACCTTTGGGGTAAGCTACGAGCTCAAGATCACTTGAACGAGAGTCGACCTGCTGGTGGCTCACCACTTGTGCGAATTGTCCTGCGCTTTGTTCAGTCTCTTAAAAATATTGCGAATGCGACTCCCGAGCAACTGTCGCGCTGTCCTGGCATTGGCGAACATAAGGCATGTTGAAGAAGGCAGCTCTTCTGTCTCAGCCGTTGCAATTTAATTCTCATTCTGTCGGTTGCGTGTTGTTTTTGTCACGTTCAGGTCCGCCGTATTTATGAAGCCTTCCACCAGCCGTTCACGCCAGATGCAGTCAAAGGTGCTTCAAAGACAAGTGTTTCGACTGCGCCACCCGTTCGGTCTGCGTCCACTGCCAAGACAGCCGCAACGTTCGACATTGCCTCTGCTTTTGATCGACACGACACGCTTCCCGTTTCCAGCTCGTCAAGCACAGGCGCAGCCAGCGCAGCCACCACCATCAGCGGTGCTAGTCTACATCCCGTCGCACTCCTTGCGCCGAGCTCGCTCCACGGTGGCCAAGCGGCCTCGTCCGACTCCAGTAGTGCCGCTAGTAGTACCGCGACTGGCCCTCGAATTGGGCAGTTCAGAATGAGGACCACAAGCAGTACAACCGCCCCGCCATCAACCGGACAAGCGATTGTATCTGACTGGCGACAGCACTTGAATAGCAACGCGGCCTCTGACTGAATGCACTGTCGCTGGTTGTCGAACCTGTGCTTTTCGGATTTGCGAACCCTCGAACCCTTTGTGCTTTGTTTGATTTGTTCCATTGTAGTTTTAATATTATTTCGTTCTTCCCCCTCAGTCTTTTTGATTTTGAATTGTTGCATTGTTGTCCCCCCTCCAGAGTCCAAATGCTGGAGCGAGAGTACCGCATCCTCGTTCCCATGACGGTCGACGAGGTTTGTGACTTTATGCATCGAGGCGACTTTTCGCTGTCTGGGGGTGTTTTTGTGGTCACTTTGGAATACGAGAGCAAACTCTTTGAAACCTCGCACTTCATTGAGGAGGGGGACCTCATTGAGGCGAGAGGGGCGGAGGGGATCGAAGTTGAGTGTGTCACATTGGGGAAACTATTGGGGTAGCCTCACAACAGCCTGGATCGCATGTTGGCAGTACCGGATTGGACAGATCTACATGACTGTGCGGCACACCGAGAAGGAGACGCAGGCCGGCACCGAGGTCGAGGTTGTGGTGAACGAGGCGCGCGAGCATCCCGAGCTCGGTCCCGGTCACTACACGGAGAAGCGGTACTACCTCGCGAGCAAGTTCCCAGGGTGGCTCGCAGCAATAGTACCGAGCAACATGTATCTCTGCGAGAAGAGCTGGAATTGCTATCCCAAGACATTGACAGGTAACACGGAAGCAAAACGAGACGAAACGAGCACGCCTTTCTGCTTTTCTGAGATTGTGTGCGTCATCGATTTCGCTGGCAATCCCCTCGCTCACTCGTTCTCACACTCCTCGTGCTGACATGCTATTTCTGGGACGTGCTTGTTCTGGTTGCCGTTTTTGCCCCCCCCCCCGCCGTGTCCATCGCAATTGTGTGCAATGACCGACGCAAACCCTCGCTTTCATGGTCGAACAGAAACAACGGTGAGCGTTCTATTCGGTGCCTTTGGGGCGCGCACTGTGACTTTGGAGGCGAAATTCGCATGCATGCACTGTGGCACAATATTCACTAACTTTGACGTATTCAATGTTGGTCTTGTTCTTAGGCGTCGTTTTGCTCGAGCTTTTACTTGCGAATAGAAACGCTGTACACGTCGCCAACGCCAACAGAAGAAGCTCACCAGCCATCGCCGCTGCCCATCGACGTGGTCGACATTGTTCGCGACGACTATCCCAAGTCCCATTACCTAGAGGCCGAAGATCCGCACTATTTCACGTCGATCAAGACGGGTCGCGGTCCGTTGCGGGAAGGCTGGTGCTCGGTGCGGGTTTTGTTTTTTGTTTTTTGTTTTTTGTTGCTCGGACGTGTTTTCATGCCTCAAACCGATTCTGACCTTCTATCGCTCTGTGTCTGAAAACAAAAACACAACACAGGATCCAGTCATCCCCAAAATGCTCGCCATCAAACGGGTCTCTGCCAGCTTTGCTTTCTGGGGCTTGCAAACCAAGGTCGAGTCCTTCACACACCAGGCACGTCTACAACTTTTCGGTGTCTGCTGTTTTTGGAGTGGGGTGAATGACTGCAGTGCGTGTGTTGTTGTTGTTGTTGTTGTTGTTGTTGTTGTTGTTGTTGTTGTTGTTGTTGTTGTTGTTGTTGTTGTTGTTGTTGTTGTTGTTGTTGTTGTTGTTGTTGTTGTTGTTGTTGTTGTTGTTGTTGTTGTTGTTGTTGTTGTTGTTGTTGTTGTTGTTGTTGTTGTTGTTGTTGTTGTTATTATTGTTGTTGTGCTGATCACTTTTGTGTTTGGAACGCAGTGCTTGAGAGAAATCTTCCTGGTTGGACACCGACAGGCATTCGCGTGGATTGACGAATGGATTGAGCTGTCTGAGGCAGACGTGCGCGAGTACGAGGAGCAAGTGCTTGCATGCGCGACCCGTTCTCATCAGAGTACTGCCGAGACGCATCAGCATCATCACACAGCTCCTGATTCACTGCAACGATAAAAGATAGGCCATCGGCCAACGAAACGGACGACGGCAAGCCGTCACTTGTACATGTATCACCTCATTAGCTCCTTTGTTATTGCTTGAATTGATTTCAACAAAACTGTGTTAATACAAAAAAAAAAAAAACAGCAACAAAATCATTCGCCTTATCAAAGTATCACGTTTGTTTGGGCGCGTGGTTTAGCTCTTGTCTTTGCGCACTTTGCGCGATGCCACAGGTGCTGCATCGGTGAGTGTTGCTCCAACCTTGAAGCAGTCGGCCAAAAAGTCGAATTCTCGCTCTCCGACTGAAGCGGCAATCGCAAGCTGTGGAGCAGGGAAACACGAGCAAACGAAACGAGAACGTGAGTCATCAAAGTACACGCAGAAACGATGACGAGAACGAGGATGGTTGCATACCAGTGATCGAGGTGCAACAGCAGCTGTCTGAGGCTGCGCAGGTGCCGGAACGTCTTCCGCAGTATCCATTGCAGAGCTTGTCGTCGATTCGGCGGTGGCAACCTTGCCAGTGACGCGATCAAGCAGCAATCCCATGAAGGGACCGACCAGCTGGGAAACAGGCGGGATGACATGGGCGGGTCCGCTGAAGATGGTCGCGGAGAGCGACTTGCCCGAGAATGCAGCTGCAGCGCTCGTGGACGACGAAGCAGCGGCAGTAGCAGCGGCCGGCGCAGCGTCTGTGGACGGAGTGGAGCCAAACAATTGCGCGTAGCTTGTCTGCTGCACGGTGGGCTTGTTGGCGGCAAGTGGAACCAAAGCCTACACGAAAGGGAAATCAAAATTTGCGTGAGTTCAAACGTGCCCGCCCCCAAGAACTGCCCAAGGCTCTCACAAACACGTACCGACGCCTTGCGAGCCACGGGGCCGCTGGTGTGCAGCATTTTGAGATCATTCTCGTCACCAAGGTAGACCACTGAAGCCAACCCTCCTTTGCGCGTCGGCACAAAGGCGGCTGCCGTCACACGTCGCGAGTCTTGAATGTGGAAAATGGACACGGGAACGGCCGACATTGGTCGGAAAAGGAGGACGCGCTGTTGTTGTGCCTTGCGATTTGCCGGATCTGCACAATAGAAACGAGTTTGTTTGAGCTTTTGAACTTTTTCGGTTTCGATTCGCCCGCGTCCAGCATCAAACAATGCTCACCTTGAACAGTCGTAAACACCATAAACCGATCAGAGGAAGCATCGAGCACAAGAGCAGAAGTATTCAACTTGCATGACCACCAGACTGGACGAATCAAAAAAAAAAAACAAAGCGACAAGTCAGAGCAAACCAACTGAACACCCATCGGACAGACCCAAGTCGAAAAAAAAAACATACCAGAGCATGTGAGAAGATTCCACACGTAAATTGAAGTCGATGAACGTGCAACAAGGTAAGGAGTATCATTGATAAAAGCCACTTGTTGGATGTGCTCTTGCGGTGGCGGATAGGAAAGGGTGATTTGCAAAATGCTGGTATCGACATCCCAGAGAGTGACGCTGGAGCCGTAAGCAATGGCGAGCACCGAACCGTCGGCCGAGAAGGCGAGACTCTTGCAATGGTAGTCGCGGTAGAAACCGACAGAGCGGCAAAACCACGAGCCAGCGACATCCTCTTCGACCACTGCGGGTGCAGTAGCGCCAGCGGTGGTGCCAGACGACGCGGATGCTGCTGCTGCAGCTGCTGCCGCGGCCGCAGCCGTCGATGCCACGTACGAATCGGTGCTGGCGGGCGATGCGAGTGCCCAGACGCGGAATTTCTTGTCGAGACCACAGGTGACAGCAAGATCAAGCTTGGGGTGGAACTGGATGGACGAGACGGCAGAAATGCCGTGGGGAGATTCGGCGCAAGTGCTCAGGACGTATCGCTGGGCGGACTTGTTGTAGTGCCAAAAGCGCAGACGGGTCTCAAACGTCGCGTCGGGGGTGGCAAGCACGGAGAGCGATGCGGCATGAGACGACTGGGCCTCGGCAGACATGGAGTAGTGTGCGGGCGAGGAAAGGGTCGAGCCCGGGAATTGGCGAGCGGCGGTCTTTGGCAACGAGGGGATGTCTTCACGGCGCTCAATCGTGGCCATCCACTCGCCACCGCGTCCGAATGCCACGTGCACAACCGGCGTGGACGTGACGTGGTGCCGGGGCACGATTTCAATGTCCGTGACGTGACGGTCGTGGTGCGCATCAAAGAATTGAATGGTACCAGGCAGCGTGCTGTTCAAGACGAGCATGTTGGTGCGAGGCTCGACGACGAGGCCAGTCACTGGCGCCGAGTCACGCTCACCGAGCTTGAGGCTCTGGACAATGCGTAGGGTTTTCAGGGAGACAGCCGAGACGATGCGAATCGAGTTGTCGGCGTGAGAAACAGCATAGAGGGTGTCGTCGGCAGAGGTCGCGACGGCAGTGATGGCAGCGCCAAGACGTGGCAAGTATTGGCGGTGACCGGTCTGCAGCTGCCACATGACAAGCACAGACTCGAGACCGCCCGAGATCAGATACACGCCGTCGGACGAGAAGCACATGTGCGCAACGGCGTTGGCGTGCCAGTGCATGACGCTCGTAGCCGGGGTGCGCGAGGCGCCTTGCTGTTGCATCGATTCGGATTGCAGGTACCACAATACAATCTCACCGCGGCTGTCGCCGGTTGCAATATAGGCCTCTGTCGGATGAATGGCAACGCAAGTAAGGTCGCGCGCATGCTTGAACTTGTGTCCAGTCTCTGTGCGAAGATTGTAAACGTGCAGGTAGCGGCCGCCAATGGCTGCCACCGTGACGCCGTCTCCGCTGATGGCGAGCTTTGTGAGCGCCTTGGACTTGAAGATCTTTCGAGCAGCCAGTGTCGCCGGCTTGGAGGGTGCATCAGTTGGTGTTGTTGTTGTTGTTGTTGATAATGTTGCGGCAGTAGTGGAGGTGGGTTGCGCCAAATCTTGAAAGTAGGCAGTCGCCTTGGCGGCGGATGTGAGCTGTGTATCACCGAGCATACCGAGATGCTTGGGAGGAGTGTAAACAATGTAGACCATAGCATACGGGGAGTCTGGCAGAGGGACGGCAGCAATAACACGTCGTTTAGGGAATGGAGCGGGCAGCGCCAGCTGCAATTGCTGCAACAAGACGCCATCGTTGATGTCCCACACGAGCAACCGGGCATCGCTCGTGACCGAGAACAGTTGCAGTGCATTAGCGGGGTTGAGCCAGAGCGCAATCGCAGGCGCGCCAGAGCCGGACGCGCGCTTGGGCGCAGTCGATGATGAGGATGACTCACTATCTGTGGACGCTGCGTTGAACGAGGACCAGGTTTGGAGACATCGCACACGCTCACCCGAGTTTACGCTGTATACGTTGACCAGATCGCCAGCTGCGGCGAACATGAACTTGCCGTCCTTCGAGAAGACTGCAGGGAAGCGAGTAATGTTGCCGCCGCCGAGGCGTGTAACGTACTCCGTCGTCGCGTCGGATGCAACAGCACCCGTCGTGCCGCTGCTGTGGTTGCTTGCCTTGGTGCTCTTGTTGCGGCGTGGCTGGCTCTGTTGTGCGTTGCTGTCGTCGTCGTCGTCGTCGTCAATCTGCATTGCTGCGGCCGAGTCCTCGTCGCTCTCGCTGTCCTCGTCGCTCGCGTCCCTCGCGCCGCCCTTTCCGGCATTGGCCTTCTTGTGGCTGCTGTTCCGAGCCGTCGTGGGCTGCGTGTGGCCGCGGCCGCCTGCGCTGGTCGCCGGTCCTGCCGCGCCGCTGCCATCCTCTTCCACGTGCGGAGCGGCCGCCTTTGCTGCCTTGGCTGCCTTGGCTGGCGTGCTGTCTGCGCCGCGTCGTCCAGCGGGCGTCTTTGTGTGTCCATTTGCATCGTGCTCAGCAGCAGTAGTCGTAGTCGTAGTGGTCATAGGAGCAGCAGCAGCAGCAGCAGCAAGCGGAGTCGCAGTGACGGCTGGCGATCCATGTGGACGAGTCGCCGCCTGCTTCTTCTTGCCCGGCGTCGTCGTCGTCGTTGGCGTCTGCAGTCCAGCAGCAGCAGCCCCCTTCGATGGTGCAGCAGCAGCAGCAGCAGTGGGCGTGCTTGGTGCTTGCGGCGGCGGCTGTGGCTTGGCGGGCGTCTGCGGTGCGCCGTTGGCTGGTCGGCCAGGCGTCGCCGTCTTTGACCCAGCCATCAATGCAAGAAGAAAGAAAAAAACAAAAGGAAGGAAAAAAAAAAAAAGATTGAATGGATTTTGCATTGACTTTTGTATGGACTTTGCATTGAGTTTTGTATGGACTGTACATTGCGTTTGGATTGAGCTTCTATTGCCTTTTGTATGGACCTTTACATTGACTTTTGTACGGGACCGTCCTTTCTGAGTTTGTTCAAACTCCGAGTTTTGTTGCTGTTGGTGTTGTGCGACGTTTGACTTTTTGTGATTGTCTGTTGTTTGAATGAGCGAATGATGAAAAAGCAATGGTCGAGTCTGAGTTTGGTCTGCGTTTTGGTCACAAGTCTGAGCTGTTTTGCTTTTGTTTGCTTTTTGTTTGGTTTTTTTGTTTTGTTCTGCGATGTTGACTGGTTGTGATTGGCTTTTTGATGGAACATATTGTTAAAACAAAACTAGAGCATCACTCCTTGTTTACCATTGACAAGAACTCGAGCAACAATGGGCCGCAATAGCAGTTACCGAGGCGGGAACAGCGGCGGCGGTCATCGAATGAGGTGAAAATGCCCATGAACACACCCGACCCCGCGTCATCGCTTGAAGTTGCACAATCACTTAGAATGGGAGTTTTGACGTTTGAGGTGGAGTGTGAGGTGAGACTGACCTGGGGGATGGGTGTTTTTGTATGGCAGGCACATGGCGATTCCACGCGACGACGCCCAGATTGCAGGTAAACCAAGACACCAACCAGACTTACTCCAACTCGACGACCCAAGGCAAAAGACGCGAGCTACTTTTGCGATGATGCAAGCCATCCAAGCCTGAAGAGCTGAAGACCTGGGCTGGAGGAGGAAGACGAGAACTCGATTACGTGCTCGGTTTGCTCACTGCGCGCTGTTTGTGGCTCTGGGGCTCTTGTTTGTTGGCTTCTGTGGGACAAAGCGGACAACGCGCCGACAAGTCGAGCTCAACGAGACCGCCTGGACGAGGACGAGCCAGAGCCCTTCCCGGTCGATCTAGGCATGTGGGTGAGTGACTCGGCCCAATGCGCCGTCATCAACAGCGGCGCCATCTTTCAATCATGGCTCTCATTGTGTCCTCACTTTGCTTTGGGTTGCATCGTTCGTGCTATTGTGTTTGAACGAGGATTAGGACTTTGCTCAATGCGATCCGAAGCGGTGCTCTGGCAAAAAGTTGGAACGATTTGGGTTTGTACGCTCGCTGCGCCTGCAGGACAAGTTCCATGGCATCATTTTGAGGTACTGTATTGTCAAGACGCTCACGCCGTACCAACGAGGGAGGCTTTGAACGACAGGCCCAGATCGAACTCTCGCTCAAACTCGTTCCCCAAAAAACAAACATCATGCATGCCACGTCCCACACACAGCCCGATCGGAACCCGAACCCTCTCACCCGAAGACAAAGACCTTGTGGTCAAGTCCGGCATCGCCGTCGTGGATTGCTCCTGGGCGCAGCTAGACGCGGTACCCTTCAACAAGATGAAAGCGGGTCATGCGCGCCTCTGTCTTTGTAAGTCCATCCTTTGCCCCCCCCCCCGCTTCCTCGATCGGCGCATCCTTGATGAGCAACATCCTCACAAGAGTTGGCCATTTTGTTGTGCAGTGCCTTATCTGGTCGCTGCGAATCCTGTCAACTATGGAAAACCGTGCAAGTTGACGTGCGCTGAAGCGTTTGCAGCTGCGTTTTACATTGTCGGTACGCGGAAGCCTTCGCGCTCTATGTTTGGGCAAGAGATGTCTCAAAGACAATGCTTGGATTGACCGCCCTTTTCGTTCAAACATGCAGGCTTGAAGGAGCTTGGCTCGCAGCTTCTTGCCAAGTTCAAATGGGGCTCGCAGTTTTTCTCGCTGAATTTGTATGTGACAGTTCCCCGAACAAGGTTCTCGGCGCATTTTCACTCACCTTGACACCACCCTCTCGATTGCACTTGTTCAGCGAATTGCTGGAACGGTACGTGGCATGCGCCAACAGCACAGAGGTGATTGCCGCACAGGAGCAATGGTTGAAAGAGGCCAGCGCTCCACTTGAAGATGACGGCTTTGATCTTCCGCGTAAGTATGAGTGTCGAGGATTTGAACGCACGCGTTTTGTGCTATCGTGGCTCGGAGCAGCTCTTGAGATGGCGGTTGGCTGACCGTCGCGTCGTTCCTGTGCCCAGCAACCAGCTCAGGAGAGGAAGATAGCGATGACGACATGATGACTCCTCACAACCCAAACCGGTGAGGCTTTTAGATGTGACCTGTTTGCCTCTCTGATGGAACTGCGATTTTTTTTTTAGTTTGTCGATTTTTTTAATTTGTTTTGATCTGCAACAGACGACCGCAAATGGGCGACGACAGCGACGAAGAAGATAATGAGGATGAGAATTCTGATGACGATGATGCTGAAGATGACGATAACGACGACAGCGACGACGACGACAAAGATGAAGCCAGCCAAGAGGACAGCGACGCCGACAGCAGCGATGAAGAGAGTCAAGACAACAGCGACGACTTGGTTGGGCAAACAGCTGCACTTTCTCTTGGTGGTCGCGAAGGTCGAGGGCACGCTGCTCGCGGAGGTCGCGGAGGCTCAGCTCGCGGCAAATCTGCCCGAGGAGCACGCGGTCGGGGACGTCGATGACTGTGAATCTTTTTGTTGTTGTTGTTCCTTTTCCATCCTCGTAGATGTAATATCGACAACTTCTAGTTCATAATACCCGATTGAACAAACATGCAAGGGTGAGAAAAGAATGATGGTTTAATGGGTAATATCGATAAGTTCTAGTCTACATGTTCATGTTCGAATAATAATGCAAAGGCATCAAACGCTTAGTCCGGGGGTAAAAACGAAAAACAAAACAAACTCTCAAAAGTACTTGGAAAACGCAAATCACGATCGAAAAAAGAATTCACAAACTATCCACGAAAAGGCTGTAAATAAAGCAAAAAACGAAAGCAGCTAGAAACACTCGCTTCTACTGCTGCTGTTGCTGCTGCTGCGCAACCATCTTCCCGAGATCACGCAGCTCTTGATGAACAGTGGCACTGGCCTCTTCTTCCCAGAAGGTGAGAATATCCGGGAAGATGGGGCGGTCGGCGGGATTGGGCTCCCAGCAGCTGCGCAGCAACGACCAAATGTGCACGGGGCACGTATCGGGCTGCGGCAAGCGAGCTCCCGATTCGAGGTGTCGGAGCATCTCTTCGAAGGGCAGGTTGGCATACGGATTGAGGCCGTAGGACATGACTTCCCATCCCAGGACGCCGTACGACCAAACGTCTGACTCGGTGGTGAACGTGAGGTAGCCGATCGATTCGATGGCAAGCCAGCGCACAGGCAAGCGGCCTCGAGTCTGCAGCTGGTAGCATCCGCTGTCAACACGGCGAGCGAGGCCGAAATCGGCGAGCTTGACGGTCAGGTTTGGGCCAACCAGGCAGTTGCGGGCGGCGAGGTCGCGGTGCACAAACTGCTGGCGCGCAAGGTAGTCCATTGCCGAGGCAACCTGTCGCATGGCATGCGCCACTTCGCGCGGAGTCCAGGTGATGTTGCCAACGCTGCACTTGACAAGAAGGGTTTGAAGGTCGCCGTAAGGCATAAACTCGAGGACGAGCATGTTGGGCTGCTGCTCGAGCAGGGCTCCGATCGCAGTCACAATGTTGGCATGGTTGAATTGGACCATCATGGAGGCTTCCGAACGGAAGTCGCGTTGGTCCTTCTCATTGGCGGTGACCTTGAGCAGCTTGACAGCAACAGCAACGTGCTCGGGGCTGTCGACAATGGGATTGAGGTGGAGGTCTCGCGAGGCATACACGATGGGGAGCACGCCAGCCACCACCTGACCAAAGAATCCGTCGCCGATGGGGTTGCCCAGAACGAGATTTTCGCGGATGGTGCTCGCTGCGCCAGTTTCAGAACTGGCGACACCGTACAGTCGCTCGCTGATGGTACGCTGGGGACCGTTGGCCACCTTGGAGTTCTGCAAGATGGCATAGCCGCCAACCTCCGTAGCCCCTTGCAAGAGGGCGTAGCCAGCTGCGGAAGGGGAGGCCGCGTGGGCCGGCACGGGCTGTAACACATCATAGCCAACTGGAACGGAGCGGTCGGCCTTGCGAATCGCCATAGCGTAGGCAGGCAGTGTGGAAATCATCTCGTTGGTGGAATGGAGGACGGGTTGACGAACGGCCACGGCGTACACGGGGTCAAACGTAGCCTGGAAGTCCAAGATTGTCGAGCTCGTGTCCAGCGTGTGCGTGAGGCTGCCGGAAGACTTGTTTGTAATCTTCGGTTCGCGACGACGGCAGTATGCGATCAAGAGAAGGCCGAGGGCCAACAGCACCAGCAACGAGCCCAGAGTTGCACCCATGATCAGTGCAACTGGTTGGGAGCTGGCCGCTTCGGGCACAACGAGATCGACAGTGACAATCAGTTCGTCCTCGCCATTGCTCAGAACGGTGCCGTTCGTCGCGCCAGTGATGTTCAAAGTAAACGAGTAGACGGTATGCTGGAGGTCGGTCGGGTTCAAAAGCCAAAGGTTGAAATTCGCCTCGCTCGAGCCGGCCGGGATTGTGACGGAGGTCTCCGTCATCACGAACTGGCGATTGTCGCGCGCTGAGCCCTCTCGGCCTTGATCATCTGCGCTGCGAATAGCGTAGGCGTTTTGTTCAATCGTCACCTGCGTATCACGGAACACTCCGCCGGTACGGACGACTGGAATGCGCAACCAGCCCTGCGCGAACACGGCCGTTAGCGTGTGATTCGCAAACGAGACCACGCCGTAGGCGTTGTCATTGGCGGCAATCGTGACAGCCACACGGCCGTGGGCTTGAGAAATGAACATGCCAGAAACGTCGAACAGCTCAACATAGAAAATTTCGTCTTGCTCTGGGCGCGAGTCCTGGATGGTTGTGACTTGAATGGTGGTGCTGTACTGGTTTGGTTGGAATGTGACCAGCCCTTGCTGTACTTGGAGATCATCGGCGTCCGTGCCATCCGCAACCGAGGAAGGATTTCCAAAAACGGTTCGGTAGTACACGGAAACGGGCAACGTGCCTGTGACTGGGTTGGGCGTGCGGGCAATGGTCAACGTCACATTCGAGCCCTCGGCAATGAGGGATGATCCGTTCACGGTGATGCCAACGACGCCCCCGACGGTGGAGACGGGCTCGATGACCATGTACGCAGATGCGCCGCTCAACGTAGCAAGACTGCCCACTGCAAGGCTGAGCTGCAAGTCAAATCGGCGTGCAGGTCGCTCGCCCGCGCCTTGGTCTGGCACTGTGATTGTCACCACCTTGATGCGCTCTCCGTCGGCAAAGTCCAGCTGGCTGTCAATGAGAACATCTGCGGCCGAGGTCTCTGGGTATGGATACACCGACTTGACGGTCAGGGACTGGGCGCCAAACAACCCAGCGTTGCGCAGTACGGTGATGTTGAAGGAGGAGCCTTCAAAAAGGGTCGTTCGTGCAGCCACGTCAGCGGAAGCCCCGGCCGTGTCGAACGAGAACAGGCCGGCATAGTTGTCGTTGGCTCGAATGGTGACAGTGGTGGAAGCCTGCGCTCCAATGCGCACGCCGCCAAGACCGTTGCTGCTGAGCGACACAACAAAGCTCTCATCCAGCTCGGGAAGGTCGTCGTTGAGAATGGTCACACTCACGTTGACGGCTGTGACATTTTCAGGAAAGACAACAGGCAAGGACGGGAGTGCTACAAAGTCAGTACCTGCGGTAGCCGTGCCAGAGACCGTCAAGACAAAGCCCGTGACCGATCCAAAGGCGCCGCCGGTTCGAAGCACGGTGAGAACCGCTTGGCCGACATTTTCGTCGACAGTCAGCGATGCCCTCTCGAACGAAAGGACGCCTCGGGCGTCGTCGTTTTCGCTAATGGTGCAGACGGTCTGGATTGGGTTGCTGCTCGAGAGAATCGCGCCGCCAGTGGGTGACGATAAGGCGACAACAAAGTTTTCTGCCAGCTCGGGAATGGTGTCGTCGATCACTGTAATGGCGGTCGAAACAGAGCTGACACCGGCGTCAAACACGATAGTTGTGTCGAGCCCAACAAAGTCGGATCCTTCGAGCGCCGTTCCGGAAGAGGTCGTCAAGCGAACAGAGACAGAGCCAAAGAGCCCTCGAGCGCGAGTGATTGTCACAACCACAGCACCCGATTCCTCCGATCCCGTGAAGGACGCGGCAGAAAAGGCCAGCACACCATGGGCATCCACAGTGTCCTGAACCACAAGCTCGGCACTAGAGAAGGTTCCCATTTCGCTTGGCAGAACACTCGTGACCACGGACGCAATACTGAGCTGAATGTTGTAGCCGAGCGCAGGCTGGTCATTGGAGGAGATTGGCATCGAAATTCGGCACACAGTCTGTCCGCTGGCAAAGTTGAAGACGAGGTTGGGCTGCGAGTCAGAGCGCGCCACAGACACTTGCGCAGTGCCGTCGCTTCCACCAATCCGCTCAAGAGTCAGGACGACCGATCCCAAGGGGGCCACGGTCATGGTGCGATTGGACGCTGAAAACTCGAAGGCTCCGCTCGGAATGTTGGCGGCCTGAATGGCAATGTGCACATCGGTGAACGTGTCCAAGATTGCACCGTTGGGATTTGCCAGTCGCAAGTAGAGATTCGTGCGCGGGCGAGCGAGGTTGTTGGCGGGGATGGTCAGGTTGAGAGTTGCACCGTTGCCACTTGCTCGGTCAAAGAAGAGCGTGAGAGACGACTCAAAGTTGTAGTCGTGACCGGCGAGGGCAGAGCTGGTACCGAGGACAAGCACGGTGCAGTTGGCGTCGGACTCTGTGACAGTGCTGGAAAAGACCAAGGTGATGAAATCGCCCTCGTTGGCATAGACAAGTCGTGACATTGGAGCAACGCTCAGGGCGCCGAGGAGTGTGCAGTGCAGTGTGCTGCCAGCACCAGAGCTTGCATAATTGGCGCCGCATGTGCATCCAGAGGAGCCACTGGTTGCGGTCGAGCCAACGGGGCAGCTGGCACACGTAGACTGCTGAGCCTGGTCCTGGTACGTGTCAATGTCGCATGAATGCTGCAAGTTGTCTCCGATGCACCGATTGCCGGCAGCGCAGCTGGAGCAGGAGGAACCGTCCATCCAGAGTCCGACATTGCAGGTGCAGCCGGTGGCATTGGCGGTCGACCAGCTCGAGTCTGGGCAGACCTTGCAGCTCGTTTGGCCCACTTCGTCCTGGTACTGACCGGCAGAGCACAGAGTGCGGGTGTTGCTGTTTGTGGCGCAGCGACTGCCAGCGGGGCAGGTCACGCACATGCCAGAGTCGACGTCGAGGTACCGGCCTGAATCGCACGTGCACACAACGGAATTGGCAAAGGAGGTCGAAAAGTCCGGGCATGCAGGGCACGACGAGCTGCCCGAAGAGGCCTGGTACGTGTTTGCGGGGCAAGCGTAGCGGGTGTTGTCGCCGGGGCAATAAAAGCCTGGTTCGCAAGCTTGGCACGTATCTTGGACCATGTAGCGGCCGGCATCGCAGGTGCAGCGAGCAGCGCCGCTGGATGAGGTTGAGAAAGTAGGGCAAGGCTTGCAGCTTGTCTGTCCCGTGGCATTTTGGTACTGGTTGACGAGGCAAGCCGTGCAGCTCGAGCCCGCGCTGGAGGGCTGGACCGAACCTGCCGGGCAAGCGGTGCGGATGCTGTTGCTGCATTGGAAACCAGGCTCACACACCGAGCAGGACATGTTCGTGGTGTTGGTGTTGATGCCATACCGCCCTGCGTTGCACGTGCATTTGGCAGAGCCTTCGGTGCTGGTCGAGAAGCTTGGGCAGGCGACGCACGATGTAGCTCCTGACTTGGGTTGGTACTGGTTGGCCGGGCAAGCACTGCATGCAGCAGCAAAGCCAGTGGAGAAGGTGCCCGGCGCGCACGGTTGGGAAATGCCATTGATGCCTCCCGGGCACTGCGAGCCAGCGGGACAGTCGGTGCACTGCGAGCCCCAGAAGCCCGAGCAGCAATTGGGGGAAGGTTTCCGGCACGAGCGGTCGTACGCTCCGCACAATAGTAAAAGAATAGGTACGCAGCAGCTGCCTTGAGCTGTTTCCGAGTCGCCCTGTTGGCAGTTTCCGCATACATCATAATCATCGGTGGCACACGTTGCCGCTTGGGCATACGGGACACGGGTGGCGGTAGCAAGAAGCGCCACAACGCACAGCAATGCGAACTTGATAGTGGGCTTCATGACAACCTGTGGCACGTCGGTAATTGCGCAGCGCCAAAAAAAATTGCTCAAGTTGTATGGGGAAAAAACGGAAGAAATATATCACGGTCGAAGCTGCAGAGTACCAACAAGCAGTTCAAAATCAGTGAGTTTGAAAAGAGAAAAAACCTTGTTGAGTGGCAAGCATCAGAGTGAGCGGAGACAGAAGGAGAACGAGAAGAGAAAAATATGAAAAAAAAAAGCGATGAGTAATGCACGTCAAATGTTTTTTTGTTTTTTTGTTCGACACTGCGTATTTGTGATCGGGTTTTGTCCGCTGTGGCTTTTGTTTTTTGAAAAATGCAATTCCTCAAAACGATGGTTTGGAGCAAATGCAGCTTGTCGCTAGGGACGCGACCCACGGAATCCAAGCCCCGCACCAAACCGCCCCAAAACACACTCGCTCACCTTTGGACCAACAAAAGAAAGCAATGGGGGAAAAAAGCAGGAAAGAGCTTTGTAGATGGAAAGACGTTGCCGTCAATTACAAGATGGAAGAATAAATCGGGACTGCGTGTTGTGCAGATTTGACCGCATTGCGAAAAGCCAACAATCCAGATCTGAAAGAGGTGTCGAGATGAATTGTTTTTTGTCTTGTTTTTTGTCTTGTTTTTTGAATTTTATTTTTTTTTTTTTTTGAACCCGTCCTACCCGGCATCTGGCCATTCAGACACTTCCAATCGAGGAGTGGTGGATGCATGACGTGCCACGCCTCTTAACGTGGTGAAAGAAACCAAGAAACCAAGAAGTAGGAGGAGCAGTAGCTGGGCGAGCGGGCGGTCGGCAGGTAGGAATGAGCGAATAGCGGTTTTTTTGATGCGAAATCGAAACGAGCAGACATCTGAGCGAGCCTTCCCAGCTCAAGTGTTGGCGTCGCACGCGCACCACCTCAACACCAATTAAAGGATGCGGCTGGTCAGCATCGCCGCCTCACTCTCTCTCTCAAAAGCGGGAAAATACAACCCATCCAACAGCACGCATCCCGGCAATCGCGCAGAAGGGGAGGGACGAGCCAGAGGGATTGCAGACCCTATTACGCATCCACGCGAGAAGGTCCTTAGAGACCGACACCTTTTTTTTTTTTTTTTCTCCTCTTTTTTTTTTTTTTTTTTTTCGCCAACAAACAAAATGCAACGGCTCGCAACCGCTGATCTACCCTCACGGAGGATGTGGCATGCTTAGTCATCCACAGTGATCACTCTGAGAAAAGGAAAGGCCGCTGCGAATTTAGGAGAGCGATGGAAATCGATCAAGAAGAAACGCGCGCGAGACCAGTGCTCGATCGAGGTGTCGGTCAATCGAGAACCAATAGAAAGAATACAATAGGAAGCAAACTGGCTTCGACCCTTATGTGCAAGGGCCGACAGCATGCTGGGAAGTGGGGAGAAAGCGACATACGTACCAAAAGTGTGAGAAGGAAGATTGTCGACCAAGTGTGTGCGGTACTCTCGCGCGTTCAAAGCTAAATGCGAATTGAGAGTACGGGGATGCAAAAAAAATCACAAACCCGAATGGGGAATGGCAAAGCAGAATAATGTGGATTGGGGACTGGTCTCCAAAATTGGTGCGGTAATTTCAAAAGACGCAATTTTCGGTCTGGGTCTCCAATGTTGATGCGTGACCCACCTTCGCTTCCTCTGGGGGTGCTGGTGTGTCTGGAGCGCAGCAGTGCAAGCCAAAAGCATCTCCTGATGGAGGGGGGGGGCAAATCCCAAAAGTGCAGTCGCGAGCGCGATGGCGCGTGAGCATAGGATGCGCGTTGCCAACATCGCTGAAAAAACCCAAATGCGTTGTCAAGATTCGGCATTAACCGCACGCGCCTTGATTTAGATTACGATCTTGGGGAGAACCCGCAAGATGGCGTTATGTTCGAAACGCCAAGCCCTCAGCGCTCGAGCGTACTGCCGTGAGTTGATGTTGCGAGGGGGGCGGAAAGCCTTCCACCTGGTCGTGACTCCTCTGATTCTGTACCTTAAAAGAGCGCAACAAATGAGCATCCGCGGTTTGACTCAGAGTTGATGAATAATAACGTCCTAAATATTCAAATTTTGGAAGTCCTCTGCACTCGACGTGGGCTGCACACGCCACACAGCCGTAAATGGGCCCAGCTGATGAAGTTGTGCTCGAATCGCGATTTCACAGATTTTGCACCGTTTTTGGGGACCTCGTACGAATTCCGATTGCTGGCTTTGTTTGAACCTTGCTTCATCACGCAAACGGGTATATGATCACATTAGCCATCGATTCGAAATGGTCTTTTGGTTTCTGTTTTCGTTTTCCTTTTTCCTTTTTCCTCAATTCTTCTCCTTTTTCATTTGCTATTTCTTTTTTCTTGTCTTTTTCGTTTTCTTTTTCGTTTTCTTTTTCGTTTTCTTTTCTTGGTCATTTGCTGTCTTTGCTTCTTTTCGCCGAAACAATGTCGGACGAGTTCGACGAGCAAAACTCCACAGCACAGCCGTTCAAAGCCAAGACCTTCTTTCATCGTCTCATCCCTCCGCCCGGTGATGGTATGAATGTCCAAATCGGTGACTACGTGGTGGACCCATCAACGATGGACTTTCAGTTTTGTAAGTGGCTGCTCGTTCGGGTGACACGCAAAGATGGAGCTCACTTTTTGGCCCACTGTTCTGGCAGGGCCAGACGATACCAACCTCCTCGACCAGGATCGACCGACCCGTCCTGGGAGCTCTCTACACCCACCCAACCTGCCCGCGTCATGGCAAAGTGCCTCGTCAATTGGTATCCTTTGTCTATACCGTCCAATGCATTGCGAGTGTCAAGGATGGATCGCGGCAGTGTCGCAACCGCACGTCTCACACGTCAAAGCGCTGCCATGTGCACCGTTAAGGTGTGGAGGTGCGTTTAAATGTGCGTATGGCGTGTGTTTCGTTGTCGTGCGTGTGTTTTGTTGTCGGGCGTGTTTGGTTGTCGATCTGGCCTTCCTGCTTCTTTTGAGCTGTAGAACCGTTGCTTGTTTTGGTGCGCTCCTCAAAGGTTGGTGAGAATATATACATCCCAACCCATATCTGTTCGCTCAGTGCTCAAGATACTTTGTATCTACCTATTCCTCCCTCTCGGGTGTAACACAGTTCAAACGATGCAGGGGTCGAAAGCAAAAACCAAACTTGGTGTAATCGACGTCGCCAATCACAAACTCAATTCCAACAACGCCTGAACCCCCAACAAAGCTGACATGTTATGTTTTCGAGATTGTGTTTGTAACATTGATCAAGTCTGAGCCGACTAAGCATGACTTTGCTTTCACTCTTTCTTTTTTTTTATTACACAACACGATTACACTATGGCCGATCAGCCACCAGCGATGGAGGGACAGGCGCCTGCCCAGCGCGGCGGCCGTTCCAATAACACCAACAACAGTAACAATACAAACACCAATGGCGGACGTAGCGGCGGCGGTGGTGGAGCTAAGCGAGGCGGAGGCGCGAGTGGATCGCGTGGCGGCCGTGCAGGCGCATCGAACGCGGCACCGCGGCAGCCCCGCGAGGATGGTCATCGAGCTGCTGGTGCTGCTGCTGCGAATACTGCTGCTGCTGCTGCTGCTGCTGCGGCGGCGGCGGCGGATGCGGGCGAGAGTCCCGCTGCTGCGACCGAAGCCGCTCGTTCTGGCGCGAGATCTCAGTCGGGTCGCCACCGGGGCGGCAAGGGCGGCGCATCTGCGTCGGCCTCGAGTGATGTGAATGGTGCTACTGCTGCTACTCATACTGCTGCTGGTGCCGAGGCAACTGGTCCAGAGAGCAGCTCGGCGTCGCCAGCCAGCTCGCGTCAGCGTGCGCTGCAGGTTACCTCATCACAGTCGGCGACACTGCAACCGCACCATGACGAGGCTGCGCGCTGCGATGTGTGCTCTGGCGAAATGGAGTACGCTGCCGTGGGTGCCTGCAACCACCCCGTGTGCCATGTGTGCTCGGTGCGTCTGCGCGACCTGCTCAGGAAGACGGATTGCGCAGTCTGCCGATCCCCAATCACCGACGTGTATCTTGTTCCGCGCGGATTACAGGCGTCGTACGATGCCCTTGCTGCCGTGCAGTCAGTCGCGTCGGTGGCGTACTCGGGCGAAGCGTTGCAGCGGGTCTTGGTTGCCGTCGTCTCCAGCACCGAGTTGCCCACCATCTTTGTTAACGAGACGGGCTTCCACTACTCGGATCGACGAATTCGGGACTTGTGCCACGCCTTGTTTGCCTTTCTGTGCCCGGCATGCCCTCGCGTCCGAGAATTCCCCAATCTTCAATCCCTCAAAGCTCACCTCAAGAACGACCACAACGAGCTGGCCTATTGCGATATCTGCGTCAAGTCTCAGGCCAAATTCATGGTCGAGCAGCTCGTCTACACACGCTCGCAGCTGCTGGCCCATCGCAAAAACGGCACGGGCGTGCCATTCTCGCTGGAGGGACGCGGCAAAGCCGTCCCACCCACGGGTTCCAAGGGCCATCCTGTCTGCGAGTTTTGCCGAATCGGCGTTTTTGATGCAGACGCCCTCTTTGTCCACTTGCGCGAGCGCCATGAGAACTGCTTTGTCTGCCACGCAGCAGGCGACAAGAACGTGTACTATGACAACTTTGACGAGCTCGTCAAGCATTTTGCCGCCTCCCACTACCGATGCGATCATCCCAGCTGCGCAAGCAGAGAGGAACAACTAACCGCCGTGTTTAGCAACGAGATGGATTTGCGCGCGCATATTGCCGAAAAGCACATGGCAGACTCGTCGCGCCGCGACCGTCAGCGAGCCATGGTTGTGTCAGTTTCTGGGCTGCGAGGTCCTCAAGGGCACAGCAAGTCTGCCAGTCGTGCCGGCGACAGCGATGGTGATGACGACCAGCCAAGCAGCTTCCAGCTCGGGGTTGAGCAGTTCCCAGCGCTTGGCCCTGCACAGCCCACCCCAGCCGCCGCCGCCGCCGCCGCCGCCGCCGCTCCCGCCACGAATATGACACTTGGCTCTGCAGCCATCTATTCGCGTGCGACAGCATTCGGCTCGTCTACCTTGCGCGACGATCAGCACTTCCCATCGCTGGGCAGCTCGTCTTCTGCTTCTTCTTCTTCTTCTTCTTCATTTTCATCAGGTAACTATGCAACTGGACTTTCAGGCGGACAGCGAACTGGTCCTGTATCATCATCATCGTCGTCGTCGTCGTCAGCTTTGTCCTCTTCCGCAGGCAATTTGATGCAGCAGTCCGCCTTCCCATCGTTGCCTGCCTCGACGGGCAAAAAGGGCAAGAACAAGGCCGCTGCTCAGCCCGCTGCCGGCTTTGCTCAGGCGCTGCGCAAAAATCCGACTGCGGTTGCCCCCACGGCCTCGGTTCACACCACTCGCGTGGTGGCCGACCCGCACAGTGACGTGTCATCGCAATTCGCCACGCTGTCGGTGAAGGGCAAGACTTCACAATCGCGTGGAAAGGCTTTCAACCCCTACGAGGACGACGACTTTTCCTACGACGAGCAAGGAGCATACGAGATGAGCTTGGCCCGCAACGCTGCGCCCTCGGCGTCCGTCGCATCAGGCGGGTTTAGCTCTGTGACTGGCGCTGCTCCAATGTCCAAGGTCAGCGTCGTCTCCGCCCCTGTTTTTGACACTGCCCAGTACGCCGGATCCTCCCGTGCGCCCGTTGCCAACTCGCTCGACGAGTTTCCTCAGCTCGACAGCGGTGGTGGTCGCAAGGCCGGCGCGGGCCAGCCGAGCGGCTCCTGGGGAGGCTCATCGACGGCTTTGGCTTCTTCTTCTTCTTCCACTGCGTCTGCTGCTCAGGACAAGAAGCAGCGCAAGGAGCAACGCCGCCATGATCGTGTGCTCGAGACCTTTGGCCAGGGCGAGGCGACTCCTGTTGACGCGAACGATTTTCCCTCGCTGGCCAAGCCGGTCTTTGTGCCGCCGTCCAACTTTGCCGAGCGGAACGCCGCGCTGGCCCAAAGCATCAAAACCGCTCTGAACAACGACGAGGCCAAGTTTACCGAGTTTAAACAAATCTCCATGTCGTTCAAGAAAAACGAAATCACACCCGCCGAGTACTATGCCAAGTTTGCCTCGCTGCTTGGTGCGCAAATGCACAAGATTTTCCCCGAGCTAGTGGCTCTGCTGCCTGATCTTGACAAGCAGCAGCAACTGCGCGCGGCTCACCACGACGCGACAGCTGCGCGCCAGTCCAGCAACAACCGTCCTGCCGCAGCGTGGTCTGGTTCGGCCGCAAGCAGCAGTGGCAGTAGTAGCAAAAGTAGCAGCAATGCCCCGCTGCGCATTTCCTCTGCCAAGGTGAAGAACACCCCTGCGCCCATTCACTCGAGCTTTGGTCCTCCGCCAGCGCCGTCCACCAACGCCTGGGGCAAGTAAAAACCAATCCAAGATTTGTTTTGATGTTGGCATTGGCGCGAAATGCCAAAAGATGTACTTTTATTAATAGGATTTGTTTGCAAAGCACTTTCGTGTTAGGTTTTTGAAATGTCTGAGCATTTTGGTTGTTGCTGTTACTTTGGCGGCTCTGATGGTCGCTGGGCCGCTGATGTCTGCTGCTGCTGCTGCCGTTCCACCAGGTAGCGATGGTGCTCATCTACTTGATCAAGCTTGGCTCGCAGCGGTGTGAGAATGGGACTGTCGGGCCACTCGGTCCGCTCGCCAAAGACCATGTTGGCGACCATAAACCCGACGATGAGCACTCCGCCCACCACGACCAGCCGTGGATAGGCCGATGTCGGCGTGCCTTCAAAAGTGTCCTTCAGCTCTGCGCGTGCCGCGGCGCTCTTTGAGAAGGCGACGGGCGTCTTGCTGCTGAACAGCGTGCTCATGCTACGCGTCGCCAGCAGTGGCTGTGTCTGTGGTGGTTGCGTCGCGCGCAATGGCACCGCCGTTGTGCTCAGTGTCCCTTGCTGCCGTGCAAGCCGCGGCGCAGTGTGGAGCGAGCGTGCGGTCGAGCTCAATGCCGACACGCGTGCGAGCATCAGCATGCGGTTCCCAGTGATTGTCATCATCTGTCACTGTTGATTCTGTTTTTCTGAGAATGAAACCAAGTCACGACAAAGTAATAGAAGAGAGAACTGAGGTATGGTGTTTGATTGCTGTGCCTGTGAATTGGTGAATTGAACGACGAACAAATAAAAACAAAAGCTGTTGACAATCTTTGCGCCATACGAAAACGCAAAGTCGCCTCTTGTCTGTCCTCGTCGTCGGAAATGGTGTACAAAACAACTGTAACGACGCGACCAACAACAACAGTATATTGCAAAAGCAGCTCGAAGGCCCCGCCCTTGATTTTTTTCATAAACAGCTCACAAAACTCAGAGAAAGCGTTTCATCTTCAAAGCAAATCTTGCTGCTTGACCTGCCGACCACGACCGACCGGTCGGCCAGATTCAGCTGACCTTCCGAAGATGAGATTGCATTTGACATTCGACACGCGGAGGAAAATGGCTGCGCTCGAAAAAAAAAAAAAAAGCGAGGGAAATGGATGGATGCGAATTGCACTGAGCACTCCAGACCAGTCCAGCAGCAGAGATGCGATTGGAGGACGTAGCACAGGTTGGTGAGATGCAGGAGCACTGTACACTGAGCAGTGAGCAGCCGAGCGAGCCGTATGTGATGATGTGTGTGGGGTGTAAACCCAATTTGACCCACCTCAAAACCACGCTTGCGTCGCTGCTGCTTCCTCCTCTGCTTCTGCTGCTGCTTCTGCTTCTTCTGTTGCTGCTTCGGTTTGTTGCTTGCTCGGTGATGCTGCACTGCTGCTCGCTCGCACAGCCGCAGCACTCCAAAAAGGCCAAGCCGACGCGACCGACCAGTCGGCACAATTCAGGTGACTTGCCGCCGAATGCTCCGCTCAACCCATTTAGGATTCAATCACCCATTCATCTCAGTCTTTGTTCTTTGTTCCTGCGCCCCCTTGTCAGTGTTGGACTGCGTACCTTTGACGTTTTGCTGTTTTGCTGCAGGGTTCAAGACACAAATCCAAAAACCACAAAAAAAACATCAAACCGTTTGAGCGCGAAAGAGCCAAGAACCAAAGGATGACAACGCCGAGCACCCCGACCATCTTGCCGCCTGGGTTTCAGGCCGCCGTCACTGGCTCCCTGTCGAGCCGTCAGAGTCAAGCGAGTGCGACGACTGGGTCTGCTGCGTCAGTGCCATTGTACGAGGCGGTCGCAGTGCTGCTGGGCATGGACGTCCGCTCGCTGTGGGCGACCGTGAGCCACAACGTCGAAATCAACCGCGCCGAAGTCCTTCATTGCCTTGCGCAGTGGTCACGCACTGCACCAACCCAGTCCGGGCCAGACAGCGATTCGATGGAGAACAAGACGACGACGACGAAGAAGAAGAGCAGCATTCCCGACGACGCGACCCTGCGCGAGTACATTCGGGACGCGGCAGAGGGCGTGCACTGGGCGGAGGAGCTCGAGCTGGTCGTTCTGGCATACGTCTGTGTTGCTCCAATCGTGATTTTCTACAAGTCCGCCACCGCCGCCGCCGCCGCCGCCGCCACTGGAGACGCGAGCTCTGTGCATGAATTCAAGGCTCGGGCGTCGACGCTTTCGCATGCGCTGCTGAACGGCAACAACGCAACTGCCGACCCGCTGTTCCTGCTGCTCGACTCGGACCAACCTGGCGGCCGGTTTGTCCCGCTCCAGCACGAGCGCCATGCTGACCTGAGCTTTTCCTTGCATGCCGTGGCGCAAGCAGCGCTGCTTGACACTGCGCACGACAACAATGGCTTGCTGACTCTGTCCTCGTTCATCCCGTCGCCACAGCCTTGCTTCTTCCGCATTCTCGACATTCGCGGGATGGATGATGAAACCAAGAAGCACGTCATCCAAGCGCCAATGTACCAGCTCTACAAGCAAATCTACCGTGGACCGCGCTACGACACGTCCGCCTTCTGCGACAAAAAGTTTGTCGACGAGCTCGCAGACTGCTTTGTCGTGGGCATGGCATTCATCTTTGTGGCTCCCCCGGCTGGGCAGGCCCGCTCTACTCGTCGCTTGGTTGGAGGTGCATACATGAAAGTGAGGCCCCTCGTGCATGCCAACCAGCAGCTGGGCATTGTCGAAATGACCTCTGGCTACCTGTCCGAGTTCCGCGGCAAGAACGTCACCACTGTCTTTTCCATGACCACCTTGCGCACGTACCAGCGAGAGCATCCCGAGCGGTCCCTCTACTTTTTCGACTTGCTCACGTCGTCAATCACGTACAACATGTGCATCAAAAACTACCCGACGTGCTACCCGCGATACGATCGTGCCACGCCTGCTGAAATTGAGTCGCTCATGCTCAGGCTGATTGACGACATGCCCCAGTACGATCTCATCCCTGGCAACACTGATCCGCTGGTCATGCGAGGCGCGCAGGTCAAGGAGCCTCCTGCGCAGCTCTTTGCCCGTCTGACGCGCGGTGCCTTCGAACCGCCGCACACTCGCTACTATTATGAGAAGACCAAGTCCATCAACAGCAGTGGCTTGCTTACGCTGACGCACATCAATCCCGGGCTGCCCGACCAGATTTTGGATGGGTCGGCGGCGCAAGACCGCAAGGTGTTTGCCCAACTGCTTGAACAGCAAAAGATTTCTGCTTCTGCCCCGGCCACCGCTGCTACTACTGCTGCTGCTACTCCTGCTGCCGCTGGTCCGCCTCCGAGCCGCTTTGTGACGCCGACGGCCGAGTTTACCGATTTCGCCTACTTGATCGAGCTGCGCAACAAGCTGCTGCCCAAGCTCACCGGCAGCACCCTGAGCTCCATGATGCCAGAGCGTGTCACCATTGAGCTTTCTGCGGACGACGAGAATTACTGCCGTGACATCCTCGGTCACATGGGCTATGTCGGTCCGATCAAGTTTTGCGGCAGTCTCCCTGGCGTGAGCTACCGCCAGCGCGCCGACGTGTTTAGCTCCAAGACCATGCAGGTCGTGTTCAAGCACGACGGCCACCCAGTCTTTGCGACGGTTGTGCCGCAGGGTGGATTCAATCCTTACACGGGTCCCATCGGAGCCAAGTTTGTCGAGATGATTCTGCACGGCGACATTCCAGTGACGGACAAGTACGTGCTTGATCTTGGCTGTGGCAGCGGCAACGTGGGTCTTGCTGCCATCCTGATGGGTGCGCGCAATGTCATTTTCAGCGACATTGACGCCATGTACCTGCCCGAGATTCAGAACAATCCGCTTGTCATCGTGGGCGACCACGACTTCCAGGCACAGTCCCTTGTCAGCGAGACCCTCAAGAAGGCTGACAAGCTGGAAAAGTACGACGTGCTCATGATGAGTACCCCGACGTTCAACATGGAGGAGACAGACTCGGCAGACGCAAACTGCACCTCGGCGCTCTTCCAGAGCAAGCAATTCCTGCGCGACCTCATCGACCAGGCCGGCCAGATTCTCAAGTACTCGGGCGACTTGGTGATTTGGTTTATGTTTGCCAACTTCCAGCCAGCCACCATCACGACCTTTTTGAACTTTTTCAAGGGCCACTTTGACGTTCACGAAGTCGCCATCCTCGCCATCGAGCCCCAGGCCAAGATTCCCATCTTTTCAAAGGACGAGATTCTCCCTGGCAACTACTATGTCATGTACCGCATCCGCAAGACGGAAGCTTGCCATGACACAAACGGATTTGAGGCAAAGGTGAGCGGCGCGCTGCTCAAAATTGCTGCTGCCCTGCGTCTCTCCGCCGCCAAGTATTCCGAGCAAGACGATGCAGGAATGCGAGAGCTCGCTGTTGAGTTTGAGGCTGCGTCAGTTTCCTCCCAGCATTGAGGAGCGAGTGAGAATGTTTTGTGTTGTGTGTTGTGTGTGTGTGTGTGTGTGTGTGTGTGTGTGTGTGTGTGTGTGTGTGTGTGTGTGTGTGTGTGTGTGTGTGTGTGTGTGTGTGTGTGTGTGTGTGTGTGTGTGTGTGCATGTGTGAGCTTTGAGTTGTTCTTGTTGTGCTTGAATCCACGTGATGAAATGTAACTTGATTGGACTGCCACGACGTTTGATGCACGAGTTTACATTGATTTCCAATTTCCCCATTTGTCTCACACTGATGGTCGGTTGCCTATGACCTCTTTCACTTTGGTCTCATGCTTTGCTGTTGGAACATTGTCCTGGAACCACGACCAACCCTTTCGCAGCTCGTCAAAGCTCCAAACACCTTCGAAGATGGAACGATTGTTCGCGAGATTGGTGTTGTGAATCAGCTTTCCACTGTCGAAGTTTCGGTTCAAGGTCGTACAGCAACAACCGTCAAAGATCGAAACTACACGCAAACATTTAGTTGTCTTCAGTTTCCCAATTCGGCTTGGAGAGGAAGGACGTAACGGACAACAGAATCCATGATTCATCCGCACGCTCTGGTGGAGATCTTCCACCAATTTTCCATTGCAACTCTCGTCGCGTGCCGTCCACTTGTGTTCTCGTGCTCGCCCGCGGTCTCGTGCGCAATCTCCCAATCTTGATCCAGGCCAATCGTCTTACAGTTCTCTCACAAGAGCGGTTGCGTTCCAAAAAAAAAATCAACAACGAAAACAAAAACAAAACAAAAATCAACCGATCAACCACAGAACTTGACAACAACCAAATCTTGCGCAGTTAACTGGGGGGTCATCCCGTTCGTTCGCGCCATGTCGAGTCCATGCTTCGATTACTCACGCAGTACACTAGATCTCGCGGGCGGGGACGCGGGGGGGGACTGAAGCTTGGCAGGATTTAGAGCAAGCAGCTGTTGCGGTTTTGGCAATCCTGACACGCAAATCAACAACCCGCTGCCAAAAAACAATCGAAAACCGCCCACTAAACAGCTGGATGCGTCGCTCGCTGCTCTGCTCAGCTGTGGTGGGGTGGGTTTTATAACTTGTCTTTGCTGCAGTTTGAATTTTCGATTTTTTTCTTTCTTGGTTTTTTTGATCTCAGTTCTTTTTTTAGTTTTTTTTTATTTTTATTGTTGTTTGTGTTGATTTGTTGTTTTTTTTTTGCTGTGCACAATGGTAAGGTCTTTGTGCCCTCCTTTGCACCAATCGCTGTCCTCCAATCAACGAGACGAACTCGGAGAGCAAGGGGCTCATGATTGCACGCACATGCACACCAGCAACGAGCGGTCCAACCGGAGCAACAAGCAACGGCAGATCTTGACTGGCAACCATACTTTTTCTTTTTCTTTTTTTTTTTTCCTTTTTTTTTTTTTTTTTTTAACTGTGACGTGCTGGGGTTCTTTTTTTCCGCGCTCCAACCGAGAAGGCCGCTTGGTGGACACGTCGCTGCACTCGTCTCTGACATTGCAAGCGCGGACATCGCGGTCGCTTCTCTTTCGGGCTCCTTCCAGCTCCATCCATCCGTTCCATCCAATTGACAACCAAAAAAAAAAAAAAAAAAAAAAGCCCTCCCAACAACAATAGCGTGACAAGCTGCACTTGACAGAGCAGCGCGAGACGGCGGCCACACTCGCAGAACAGTCCGCCCGCCGTACTCCCGTTGGGCACGTGGGTTTGGGTGTTGACGCTCTGGCCTCTTCCCGCTCGTCACGTCGGGCGCAGTCGGTCAAAGGGCTTGCCGATCAACAGTGGGAATAAAAAGTGCCCCTTTTTTTTCTTTTTTTTTCTTTTTTTTTTTCTTTTTTTTGAAAGTTGTTTTTTTGTGGCACCTCCACCATCCGATCGGTCCATTTCCCCCTCCCCCGCTTGCCCGAGTTTGCAACGGTCATGGACCCTGCAACAAGCAAACCCACGCACAAGCGACTGATGCAAGTGCTGCAGCAGCAGCAACAGCAGCAGCAACAACCCCAATCAACAAGATGAAGAAAAATCAAACAAATAAAAAACTGTTGCGAATTTCAGCCGACCAAAAAAAAAAACCGACTTTTTTTTGATTTTTTTTTATTTTTTTTTTTATTTTTTTACTTTGACTTTGTTTCTTCTTCTGCTTCTTCTCCCTTGCCTACCCTTGCCGACCCTTGCCTACCCTTGCCGAGCCTTGTCGTTGAGCACCGCTCGAGTTGAACGAGTCGCGGTTTGATGGAAGGGGGGGGGAAAGTGACAAGGCAATACTAACCCAATTGTTCTATTGTTGCGCTGAACTCACACCACCAGTCCAAGCCAGCAACACCACTCAAGCGCAACCCCAGCGATCAGTCCAAGGGCAGCCCTGCGAGCTCACGGCCGCTGTCGGGAGACTTTGGCGGACAGACGCCCGATGACCGCAAGCTCAGCTTTGCCGACGAGTTTGGCGCCCATCCTGCGCTACAGAAGCAGCTCTCGCTGCTCGAGGTGCGATCTTTCTTGCTCTGTGTCGTTTGCACCTTGCTCGCGTGTCGTGAGCGTGTGCGTGTGTGTGGTGGGCTCTCGCTGCGAAACATGTACCATCCAGCTCACCCCACTTTGATTCGTATGTGCTTGGACGGTCTGCATGCAGGCTGAAGCTTCCACGAGCGATCCCGAACAGACATTCCTCATCCTCGAACGTCTCGGCAAAGGGTAAGGCTGCGCAACTGCAACATGCGTCTATTTCGTAACATTCCTAGTTTGCATGGGGGGGGGCGTCCTGTGCGTGTGGCCAGAGACGGAGGGGACATGTGTTGCTCGGCTCGTGAATGGTGCAGTTTCGCTGCTGGAAAGCTCGTGTTTTTACTTTTTGCCTTTTTTACTCTTTCATGTGAAGAAGGATTTGTTTCTTTCAGCTCCTTTGCGTTTTTGAGGGGGTGGTTTTTTTGTTGGGTTTCTTTTTCACCGTCTTCTCACATTCCGCAATGCTTTGTTGCTTTGATTCACTGGCAGTGCCTTTGGTGATGTCTACAAGGCGCAGCACATTGTCTCGGGATCGGTTGTCGCCGTCAAGAAGATGAAAACTGTCATCAGCAACTTCAAGGAAGTCATGGGCGAGGTCGACATGATGCGCAATCTTCGCAGCCCCTATATTGTCCGCTACTTTGGCTGCTATTACAAAGATCAGTTCCTTTGGGTAAGAACGCGTCATTCCATTTGGCACGCAACACTCCCGATCTTTGCGCTCGCGGGGGTTTCGGGGTTTTGGTTTTTTTTGTTTTTGTTATTGTTTTGTTTTGGTTTTGTTTTTGCTCATGTTGTGGGCATTCTCCTCCCTGTCCTTGTCGTTGGCTTGCATTGTAGATTGCGATGGAGTTTGCCGACGCCGGCTCTATTGCTGATCTCATCCGACAAGGCCCGCTCAACGAAGAACAGATTAGCACCATTTGCTACCAAGTACTCAAGGGCTTGGAGTACCTGCAGTACGTATCTCTTGGGATTCCTGCTGCTGGTATGGATTCGAATTCTGACTGTCCGTGATGTTGTTGTTTTTTTTGTTTGTTTTGTTGTTGTCGGTCACAGCTCCATGAAAAAGCTCCATCGCGACATTAAGGCGGGTAACATTTTGCTCAGCAGCCGCGGCCGCATCAAGCTTGGTGAGTTTTCCCAATGCCGGTGGTTTTGCTCGCCAGGATTGAGTGACTATATTGCTCATCTCTCGCTCGCTTTTGTTTGTCTTTTCATTTGGTAGCCGACTTTGGTATCTCTGCCCAGATCGATGGCACCGGTCAAAAGTCCATGGTCGCTCATACCCTGGGCTCGCCGTACTGGCTTGCTCCGGAAGTCATTGAGAATCCAGATTCTGCAGCTGCCATTACCGCAAAGGTGACAGCAGCAATTTTCTTGTCTTGTCACCGTTGTTGTTGTTGGGGTAAGCCCAGACTTTGGCAACTCATTCACTTCTGCGCGCTTTGTGTGTTTTCAGTCGGACATCTGGTCACTCGGCATCACTGCCATCGAAATGGCGGAACAGACACCGCCGAACTTCAAGCTCAACCCGATTGCCGTAAGAATTTTTTTTCTTTTTTTTTCTTTTGCTCGACCCGCTTGAGCCAAGCTCCATCTCAACAACCTGCTGGTTGCTTGGTACATCTAGGCAATGTTCAAGATGGTGAACGGCCCACCGCCGACGTTCAAGGAGCCGGAAAAGTGGTCGCAAGACTTCCAGGGCTTTATCAATCGATGCCTCGAGAAGAATCCCGACTTCCGTCCCTCGGCATCTGACATGCTCTTCCACACGTTCTCACTCAAGGCTCGCTCGACCGGAGTGCTGCAGCGCCTTGCGCTCGATTACCAGCGCCTGCTTGAGGAGCACGGTTCCAACGCCGGTATTCGTGGTGAAGATACCGTCTCGGCCAACGATACAGAAAACTTTATGCGCATCATGCTGCCAACTGGAGAGCAGCGCACTGTCATCGTCACCAACGAAAATGTCACCGATGATGTGCTTGCCAAGTTTGTCAATCCCATCAAGGAGACTATTGAGGGTCTCAATCCTGCGCCGGTCGGCTTGTTGATGCGAACCCCGAAAGAAGGTGAGACTTGCAAACAGAGTGGAGTCTCCCGAGGTGTTGGGGGGGGGGCAGAAGTTTGGTTGTCTGAAACTTTGGACAGTGCACTCACTCTGCCGTTTGTTTATTATTACTTTTCACACCGTGCTTGTCACAATGACAGCACGCTTCCTCGCCCACACGGAGCTTCCGCTCGCCGTCAAGTTCCGAGTGCTCGAAAACGAAAAGGCCCTCAAAAAGAAGAGCCAGGATGTTGAAATGACCATCAACTTTGTGCTCAAGCCTCGCCCGACCGATCCTTCGGTAAGCACTGCTTGATGATCAAGTATTATTTAGGGGGGGGGAGTTTTGATCCATGTCGCTGACTTGCGTGGCCTGTACGTTTCTATCTGGCCTGCAGCTTTGCCGCTTTGTCCTGGGCAGCCTGGTTGGCATGAACAATATTCAGCCCGAGCTGTTGGAGAACACGATTCTCGAGGCTTTGATGCTTCCCGACTTCCCCTTCGTTTCGGCAGTGCTCGGCATTACCTCGATTACTAGCAAGCAGTTTATGCCCGTCGCCACTGCCGTGTCGCGTGTGCTTGAGAGCAAGAAGAAGTTCCCTCAGCTGATCAAGGTTATGTCGAACTTTGAGGTTGCCGCCGCGCCAGGTAAACGGCGCCTTTGCTTTGTGAGAGCGTGCTGATGTGGGATGAGAATGGCGGCTGAACAAAAACGAGAGGTTTGGTTTTGTTTTCTTTGTAGACATGACCACCTTGTTCCGCAGCGGAAGCTTGGTCGCCAAGGTTTCGTCCATTCATAGCAAGTTCTCTTGCGCAGGCTGGCTGAAGGACTGCTTGGAAGACGTCGTTGGCCGCGTTTATGCAGTCAAGGATGCTGTGGAAATTGACAGCGAGCGTGTCGACAAGAAGATCGATATTGAAGCCAACGCCCTTGTTCTTGCCAACCTCACCCGTCGCATGCTGATAGCGCTGAAAGACCATGTTTCCCGTCTGCCAAAGTTCGTTACTTCTTTTGTTCGAGTTGCAACCGAAAGATTTCACGATCGCTCACTTGATTTTTTTTTTTTTTTGAATTGATTTGTGTTGTTGTTGTTCTTGTTGTCATTGTTTTTTGGCTCCGTTCCGTTTAGATCCTTCCGTCAATCGTGCGCTTATGCTCAGCAAGCCATTCGCTCCCGCATGCCTCAGCTCTCCAAGCACTTTGCTTTCCAAATTTTCTTCTTTGACCAGCTGCTCTGCCCGGCCATTGTCTTCCCGTCCCAATACGAGATTGTCAGCGCCGGTAAGGAAGCTGATGACGGTAGTTGGTGTGGATGTTGTTTGAACCAGGCGTGTCTGACGATTGTTTATTTTGTTCCCACTCTGTTGCAACTATCGCCCGAAGACACCCCATTGAGTCCAGCTGCTCACCGCACATTGGTGCTGTTGTCCAAGGTTGTCCGTTATCTTTCGCTCGGCAAGACCTTCGGAGAGAAGGAGCAGTACATGACCTTCATGAACCCCCACCTCGAAAACCTTCGCGCCTTGACTGACGAGCTGCTCCAGCTCCTTGTGGTACGTTGGTGGTTTTGATGCAGAGTGGGGTCGCCACTCCTTTGTTGGATTCTGACCATACATTGGCGTACTGTCTCGCGCTGCAGGATCTTGATGCCAACCAAGGCAGTGAAACCGCCGAGTCCCTGGGCATGGTGGACCTGACTAGTGAATACAAGTTCTTGTATCAATACTTCTGCGAGCATGTCAACCAATTTGCCTCCGAGCTCGGCCTCGGCAAGACGTTCGCCACTCACTGAGCAGTTTTTTTGTCGTGTGTAGTTTTTTTTGCTCCCACGCGCATTCGGCGCGTTCTGTCTGCTTTGATTTTTTTTGTTGCCCCGCGCTCCTTTTTTGTTCTTCTCCCATTGGTGTCTAGTTTCTGCTGTTGTGCTTGCAATTTGTTCCTTCTTTTGCTGCGTGTGTGTACATTCCCAGTTTTGGCTGCCCCTACCGCTCTTGTTGTTCTGTCTTCGCAATGCATTGTGTAGTAAAATGATGCTTTGATGTTATTTTTTTTGTTTTCTTATGATAAGAATTGGATAGAGTGCTTTTCCATGCGTTCCAAAAACGATCCGTGACACACAACGCGAAACTGGCAATCCACTGGAAATCAACCACTGAAACAGATAATGATGGCACTGGAAATCAACCACTGAAGAAGATAATGACGGCAGTCGCAATGCAAAGCAACGGCAAGCTCGCAGGTATCAGCATACTCGCACTATTGCCTGTCTTGGTTGCGCTCGCGGCATGTACGCCGGTTGTAGCAGTGCTCCTTCCGGTGGTTGCAATCGCTGAATGCGCAGACGTGGAGGCAGGGCCAGCAGTCGTGGAACGTGGAACTGGAGTCGTGGAGGCTGGAACTGGTGTCGAGGAGACTTGGCCCGATGAGCTCGAGGAAGCGTGCCCTGCAAGAATGGTCACATTTGCCTGCACGGTTTGGAAGAATGCAACAGAAATCATCCCAGCTCTCGTTTGGAAGATATCGGCACGTGCGAGCACGGAATAAAACCCATACTGGTAGTCGATGCGCGGGTAAAAGCCAAATTTGCCGGGAGACGAATGTGCGTTGATCGTCGCGCAGGCCGCAGCGAACGGAAACTGCTGGCACTCGAGCCAATTGCCCTGGCTGTAGTGCCACGTCTGGGGACTGGCTAATCCCGCCACAGGCGTGTACATGATGTCCACAGTTGCGGTTGGCGTATTGTCTGCTTCCATAATCGCGTAGGTCGCTGCGTTTGCAAAGAACGTCCTGGAAAAGATCTTTTGAAGCCAGGTCAAATACTCGTTGGTCAGAATGAAGAGGCCGCCGGCAATGTTGGGGTTGGCAACAGGACCATATCCAGAAAGCAATGAAATCCCGAGCGGGGTTTTCACATACTGGCTGAACAGCTGCGCCCAGGTCGAGCCGGTTGCGGCCTCTGCAGCAGCTGCGGCAATTTGCATGTGATTCCCAGAGTAATAAAATTCCGTGCCGGGCTCGTAAAAGTTTTGGTTGACGCCAGATGTGACGGCATTGTTGTAAATTTGTTGTGCGCAAGTGAGCGTTGAATAGCTCGAATCGCCAATGCAAGGGTCGCCCTCGCTGTTGACCGAAGGAGACGTAAATCCCGATGTGAACGCGAGCAGATTGCGGAGGGTGACTCGACTGCGCGGATCGCTGCTCGTTGCATTCCACCAGGTCAGATACGTTGAAATGGGTGCATCGAGCACCAAGTCGCCGTCCTCGACAACGCGCAGCAGAACGGACGCCGAGACCCACTTGGACGCAGACGCAACCGACAATCGCGTTGTGCTCCGCTGTGTGTTGGACACATTCTTGTAGTAGGCAAACTGCTCGCCTTCAGCATTGAGCACGATAAACGTGAATGAGGACATGCTTGTGTCGGCGTCAATTGCTGCGCCAACATCGGCCCACGTCGGACCAGCAGCCTCGGCCATCATCATCGCCGCCGTCGCCAGCCAGCAAGCCGCTGCGAGCGCCACGGTCAGGTCTGTCAGCACCCGACATTGCGTGGTCGATGTGCGCTGCCGAGCGACGATGACGCGCATTGTCACCAAACAACAACAAAAAAGTTAAAATTGCCAAAGTTATTCAACAAGAGTGAAGTTGTGATTTTTAAGCATGAGAATTTTCCCACCACCGAAGCGTGAGCCGAACGATCCTCGGAGGAAGACGGCGTTTTCCGTTTCTTGCTCTTCCTGTGTTGCAGGTATGACAGTTGTTCCTGCTTGCTGCCCCGAGCCTGTCGCGCTTTCAAAAAAAACTAAATAAAAAATGAACCAAAAAAAAAAAAAGCAACAAAAAAAGAGCAAAAAAAAAATGCTCGACTGCCGGGGATCGAACCCGGATTTGCACGGTGACAGCGTACGGTACTAACCATTATACGACAGTCGAAGCGCTTGATGAAAGTCTCATGGGCAGATGCGGACTGGAACAAAAGCCGTGGTTCAAAAATGCGGAATGAAAAAAACGTGTTGGGGGCGAGGACATGCACCAAAACTGCCGGATTGCTTCTTTGATGCGAGCTCATCGGCTCATTTTCTGTGTTGTAATTCCGGGACGCGTACATTTCGAATCGAATACTCACTTGCCCCTCGGACTTTCATCAAGAGCTTCGACTGTCGTATAATGGTTAGTACCGTACGCTGTCACCGTGCAAATCCGGGTTCGATCCCCGGCAGTCGAGCATTTTTTTTTGCTCTTTTTTTGTTGCTTTTTTTTTTTTTTTTTTTTTGTTCAGTTTTTTTTTTGTTGTTGTTGTTGTTATTATTGATGTTGTTGTTGTTATCGTTTTTGCTGTTGTAGATCTCAATTCTATCATATCGGTACTGGAACCACGATTCTGTCAATTGAAGTTGTGAAGCATTCCATAAAGCACGATTTCTCCCTGCAAACAAAAGTGTTTGTCATTCGGGGCGGATTCGCGAAGCGCAGAACACAGTAACGTACCGAATGACACACCAAAAAGCTACCAAAAAAACACGAACAGTATGCTCAGCGGGGAGTGAAGACTTTGAGCCTTAGCATGTTTTTGGTGTTCTTCCAACTTGTGCTCTCTTCCAACTTGTGCGAACGTGATAAACGATCATCGTGATGCTTGTTGTTCTCTTGCTCTACAATCGCCGTTGTCGTTGGTACTATTGTATCTTGCTTTTCCAATGTGAGCACATCAAACGCTGTCTTGCATCGTTGCTCGTCCCTTGCTTGTCATCGGTCACTTTCATGGTGGGTGTGGCTGACCGTATAGATATCTGTGATGGTTGGGGTGGTGTGTTTGTACACAAGTCTTGCACCCCAGCATGATTGCATTTCCGGATGGAGCGTTGAGGACGGAAGCAGTAAATCTGAAAACTGTTCCGCTCGCTCGCCACTCTACGGGTCGTTACAGCTGACTGCTTCGTTTTCCATCACTGGTCTGGTGTGGGTATGTGATCTCCATTGCGTTGTTTTGTGCAAAGAAAGTTTCCAGGGGTTATCTGCCTGAATGGGAAGCGGTTTGAGAGAACCCAACCGCCGTTCGTGCACAAGCTGTGCTGGCAGATACCGACATTCTTTCCGCGCTCTCGTAGCATCACGTGCTGTAAAATATACTTTTGAATCCCTTGCATGAATTGTTGAATGTGTTACTTCAACTACACGGCTGGTACCGCAGGTCTTGTGTTTTTGTCAATTGAAAGTAGCACATAGCTGACGGTAGCCTCCCTCTACCCCGACGTGGACTGCACACACAACAGCCGTCCCCTCTTCGAGGGTCCAGCAGTTTGTGTGTGCGCGGATCGTCTTTTCACTGATTTCCCCACTGTTCTTGGGACCCCCCTGGCGAGAAAGATTCAAAAAGATTTTTGGATTTGTTTGAAGCTTGTTGATCAGTCAAACAGTACAAGTCGGGCTAGAGTTGCGAGCGAAAAAACGCGTGTATTGAGAGAAACATGCAAAGAGAGCACATGCAAAGAGAAACATGACAAGAGAAAAACGCTCATAGTGCTAGTCCCCGCAGCTTCTCCGGACGAGTTTTTTTCCCCCCTCCCCCTAGCCCTCCCCGGCCCCCTAGCGCCTTCCCCTGACCTCCCCTCCCCATCCCCTTGTTCCAGTAGCCATAAATAAAACTTACAATCCCCCAGGAAGAGTCTCAGATCAGTCAAAAATTTCATCCATCCAACCCTTTGGCCAGCCATTAGGATTGCGGTGGGTTGAGCGAGAATGATGCATTGGCAGTCAGACACCCCGCCCCTTGCACTCGCATCTTGCACCTATATCACGTCAAATCTTGTAGCTCGAGCGACGGGACATTCGGTGCAACTGGATTGCTTGGCGGCGTGGTCAAAGTACCGAATT